CTCTACTTTCATATTGTCTTCTTTTATACTATTGATATTATGCATTTCTATCTTTATAATTTTTCTCTCTCTGTTTCTAGTATCTATATTGTAGCTTATACTATTTCTTATATCTCCATTCTTTTTTTCTCTTTCTTTCTGTTTCTCTTTTCTTCTTTTTTTTGGTTTCGATTTAATTTTGCTCTATTTTGTCCTTCAAGTTTTCCCTAGCGGAATGGAGGGTATGATAAGTTTCGTATAAAAAGTTTTATCCGCTTTTATGATTGCAAAAAATTTATCATTAACAAAAAAGACACTTGTGACAGATAATAATTTTATTATTTGAGGAAACCAGTTAGATATAATGGTTTATATCGACCAAACGACCGAAATTACAGATATACATTTTAATAATTTTTCTAAATCAGAATTTTTATCGGATATATCATTTACAGCATTTCTAACTACCTCGATAAATCCAACTCCAACCTTTCGTGTGTAGGATATCATCGTGTCTGTCGCCTATTCTTTCTAGTTGATTTTCTTTTTAATTTCGTTGTTTTTTTCGTGAATCATTTTCAATTTCCCCACTAGTTTATCAATAAACGAAAGAGCTGACATTTATCGTAAGACCAAGTTCTTATTCCAAAACCATGTCTTTATTTTGCTTAATTCCAAGCTAAACGAAGAAGATCTACAGAAGAGAACTGTGTTAGTAAATAAAAAATTTTTTAAAAAACACGCTTCCTAATATTTACCTAATTTGGTCTTTTTTAGCTGTTGCGAAATGTTAATTCTTAATGAGATTTTGTTGAAAGGTTTTTCATTATTCATGATTAAAAAAATCTGTTGCAATTATTTTGAATATTATGATCTTTATCCATCTTCTATATCATAAAAATAGAGGATAAAGCGAGTTCACTGGTATTTTCGCCTTTCCAAACACTGCGATTGCGCAATAATTGAAGGTTCCTAATATATGAAAAAACTATTAAAGGTAACAAACTCATAAGTAATCAATTAAAAAACATATGTACATTTGTATAATAAATCTTAGCACCACAACAGTTCGTAATTTTTCTGATGCTGATAATTTTCGAACTGCTGCTTTATAAAAGCTGTAGAAGTGCATTGAGTCCAGTATCATTTACATTTTTCAATATTTTTCGTAATAATCAAGTTTTTAATGAACTTCTATTTCTTCAACTTTGTGTAATGGATTTGGTTCAGCTTGTGGATTTTAGTTACGTATCCATTCTTTTAGATAATTGTATGCAATATAAAATTTATATAAACATCGTACTGACTTTTATATTAGAAAATTTAATAAATAAAAATTAGAAAGTTTTAATCTTTAAATTATGTATTTTAGTGAAGATATTTACATTTTATTTTTTTGATCTATTTCATGTCAATTAAAAATTTTTCAAAATTATTTATTTTAAAAATTTAACATTTTGTTATATATT